ACTGTTACAGGTTCTGATGTTAATAAATAATTAAAATATTTTTAATGTGGGTGCAAGTAGAAACTTAATTTATTAAATTAAAATTATTAATAGGTTCTTCAATGTAAAATAATTCCTCTTAGAATAAATTAATTTATTTCGAAAATTTGTACCTGTTCTGATTAGTTTTCCATCTTAAAGATGGACTGGATGGGGTGGTGCTGTTTTTATTTTTGGTACCTTTGGGGTAATTTATGTTAGTATTTATTTGCATCGGTGCAGCTGCGATAGTAAATAATTATTCATTTTATTAATAAATTTAACAGTTACTTATTTTTTAGTAAAAGGTCGGTAGATAAGATATTTTCTGAAAGAGTTCTCGAGATATTTGTTATTATGTTGGAAATAATTACGAGTTAGGATATTAAGACTTTTACCGTTATTTCTCCATCCTTGTGCTTTTTTATGCTCACTTTGCATAGGAAATTCGTTAAGATTCATGTTAAAGACTCGCGAATAATTATCAACTTAGTGAAAATTCACAAACACCACATATTTTTCAACAATAAAAGGCAGTGCAATTGTTTTAAGGTTGCTGCCAACTTTGTAGTAATATAATTATTGTTAAACAGTGTTTTTAATATTCGCGTGAATTTCGCCGTGTTTCTATTGTTAAAAGGTAAAAATTGAGCGACATTGTTTAGGGAGATAATAAAAGAAATCAAAAGTTACATACTCAGTAATTACTTAATTTATTATTAAAGTGACCTGTACAACTGTTACAACTTTGAAACCTAACAAATACTAGTTGCTGGTTAGAACATTAGTGTTCATCTTCATAACCATCGGGCAGTGCATTAACATGAGGGTTGTGAAATAGAGAATGTTGTCCATCTCCCCAGGGGAAGCGTTTGGTACGAATTCGTAAATGATCGTACTTTACAAAAGGTGGTCTCTCATGTGGGTGTCTGTTGTGTTCCAAAACACAGTTTACAGCACACAAGACTATAGCAGGAAATGCCACAAAAAATGTGAGCTTCTTCCACATTTTGTAACCCCCTAACAAGAAAAACAACCATTATTTGACCATTAGAAAAACCGTTTGAAATATAATATAATAATATTTGCTGGATTATGTAATTCGTAATGTTCGTATTTTGAAATTGTGGATAAATATTGTGATGTTATTACGTCTGATATTTTTTTGTGGAGACCTACGTACCTTCATGTTGACCAGATACAGCAGAAGGCCCCAAAACAACTTGCTTTCCTGCTGCAGAAGCCAAATATCTTCGCAGGGAATGTTGTACTACCGCAGCCATTTTTTTTTAACTTTATTTTTATTTTATCACCATTGACCATACACAGCAATAATGGATCATAGAATGATAGAATGTATAACATGGCACCCAGGGTACACATGCGCACAGTGCGTGAATAACTCGTAGAAAATCAGAGAAGAACGATAATGTCTACATACCGACTCAACAATAAAATTATTTCATAATGTTTTTTTTTTTAACTTAAACCGTTTTCTAATTTTATAGTTAATGTTATTATTAATAAGATGATAATACATTTTGATTATTTTTTAAATTGTATAATTTAAAATGTTTTTTTTTATTCGTACAAATCGAATGGCTAAATGGATACGGGTTCAGAGTAGTGAAATTTTTGACATGTTTGACATGATCATAGAGAAGGATAAGATAAAAGAAGAAGTCATATTTGTTGTCATAAAATACGTCAAAATTGTTTATTTGCAACATTACTTACCTTTCGATGTTGTTTAGATAAATAAGAATATTTGTTATTATGGTTATTTAAAAGTGCTACTTTAGTGTATGTGAAGGTGTATTTTTGTAAATTTTTCGAGTACTAGAAAGTTTTACCTAATGGAGCGAATACCAGACCAGTTGGGGCACCTAGTAATTAATGAAGATGGGGCTGTTTTAATGTCTTCGGGGGACCTGGAGAACGATGAAAAAACTGCAGATATAATCCTAAATCTGTTAAATTTGACCGATGAAATTGATCCAGTTGCTTTTCCTTCAGGTGACAAGTTCAAGAAATTATCTATTACATATAGTGATCATTGCTATATTATTTGCTTATCAAACAGGAAAGTTCACGTGGTTAAAAAAGCATTAAATAACGAATGGCCTTCTGTGTTGGTTTAATTTTTATGTGGGGTACCTAATAAGAGAATTTAGTTTTATGGAGATTATAAAATGGGTATTGTAGTATACTATATGAAGATGAAATATTTGCAAATTTGCATTTTAATAAGCAATACTTGTTACGGCATAATACATCAAATGAATTATATAATGAGGATATTTCAAATTTTTTGTACAATTTCTTTATGATTTAAGATACATATATACGTGTATGAGTATAAGTTTTTTATCATTACTTAATCTGTTATATTAGTTGAAGCAAATATAATATTTTAATTTAATTTTTATGTTATTAAATTTTAATAAAATTTCCCTATCAAGAACTTCGTAGTGTCCCATTTTTGTATTAAGAGACTTCCTGGTCAATACTTTTTTTGCATATTATAAACAATTAAAGTAAACCTGAGATGCTTTCGTAATTGTATATTGAAACAATTAAAACAATAAATTCCTGAGCTTCAAAAAATGTGCATTTCAAACTTACAGTGTGTAATGTAAATAATACAAAACGAAATACGAGGGGTGTTCACAAAATATCTGGCAAGCCTTTAGGTTGTTCCATTTTCGACAATTTTAGACATACGGGTAGACGAGATCTGGCGTGTTCCTAAAAATGCATTATTTCTACTAAAGTTATATTGTTTACTTTTAATCCATAGGAGTTGGAATTCTATTACAAAAAAGAATTTTTTTTAGGAAATATTTATAGTTCATTTGAGAACTCGGCGGGTTTAAATGTCTATATCCAGGTGTATAGTTGGTTGCATATATACAAATTAAAGGGGGGGAGAGTTGCTGAGACTACCTTCGATATCTAAGATAAATTTACCCGGGTCACTCTTGTCTTGCTGACAACTCGATCTCCGTGAAAATGGCATCTAGTGAACGAATTCGTTTTCAAATTGTTTGCAATATGTTCGATGCTCAAAGAAAATAAATCGCCTTCCATCACGGGGACATTTATTCTGTTAAAATATTCTCTAACTTTAGTGGTAGGCGATAAACTGGGCAGTCTGGGCGTAAGGTGATGCAACAGGCTACTGCTGCTTGTTAATGTCGAGTCCCCGCTACTGCTCGAAATGCCGAAACGGTTTTTCGAAGTAGCAGGAAACGACAACTTATTTGCCGTAATTTTTCGAAAAACTGAAATACAAATAAATAAATAAATCAATGTAACAGCCGTGGGCACTTGATCGTTAAAAGTAGAATGTTGTTGAAGTACATATGACTTTTCAAACTTTATGATACGCCAAAAAAGACTAACCACCCTGTATGGTAGTAATTGATTACTTTTGTGACAGTGTGTTTATACACTGATGCAACATCGCCCTATTTTATTTTAAGCTACAGAAATTACTTAAGTTTACAGTTACTTTGCAAGGCAAACTAAGTGTGAGTAAATGACTGAAATTCAAAAGTACAAATGTCACTTTAATGTCTTACATTTCTGAATGGCTTTGGCTGCTCTGTTTCTCAATTTCATTTTTTGTCTCCAATATGATGTAATAATTCTTGCACTTCTTTTTCTTCGCATGTTCCATATGGATTGGAAAATTTCAAATCCTCGTTGAGTCAGGTAAATTCGAGACTTTCCAATTGCAATTTCTTTATTTAAACTCTAAATAAAAAAAAAATTGAAGTCATTATATCTAACAAAAGTATTTTATAAGTATTTTACAACCGGAAGTTTATTTTTGATTTGATTTGGTATTTATAGTGTGTCACGTAATTGTACAAATACGATACACCCTGTATATNATAAGATTTTAATAAAAATAATAATTATTAATTTAACGTTTAGCTTCACCATTAAAAAAATGAACCAAAAATGTAGTTGTTGAAATCTTACGTTATAGTGTACTTCTGAAAATCTAATTTGAGTATTTCTGTTATTCCATTAGCTCTTATTTGATTCAAAAAGACTTCTTCATCAAAAACTTTAGGTTCCTGCATGATATTCGGTTTAATACATTTAATAAAGTGTAGGCTTGCTTTGCCCAACGTATCTATTAGCGTATCGACCGATTTCTGAAAATGGATCATATACTTGTTAAACCCGTTCAAATTTATATATATTGTATGTAGCTATGTCATGTTGTCAATTAATTTTGATAGAATTGCATCTCAAATACAAATTAAAATATTTAAACATAATTAATTCGAAGAATTAAATATTAAGCTGATATAAAATTTAAAAAATTTAAAGGGTACTGAAGTGTAAAATAGAAAGAAAAACCATAAAATTTTAATTTCTGAGAAGAACCTAATACAATTCTAAATTTAATTTATTTTTTGTATAACCCTTGTAGGGG